CATTGGGTTGATGATTCTCAGTGCTTGTATTCCATTTCTGTTGTTTTCTGGTTAAATACTACAACTGTTACGAGTCACGATACTTGCGCTACTATGTTCGAGCAATAATAGTTTTTCTGGCTGAAATTATCCATCTTTATGTATTTTTTTTAATCATTGATGTGAACAATTGTGAACAAGTCGAGACAACGGAGGTCTGAATTAGGAATTATACCACGTAAAATTGAGACTTTTCCTCCAAGAAATAACACAAGTGTCACTCCAATTTCCACACGTTTCTTGATTAAAATTCCTGATTTCTTGATAAATATATTATTTTCCATTATGCTTCACTTAACCCTTTGCACACCATAGATACTTTGTTGCAACAATGTTGCAGGGCCCATTACTAATTTGCATATTTGTACTCCCATTACCCAAAACTTCTTTACCAATTCAGTGTGAGCCAGGTAGGTTGACATGTACACAGGGAAAAGAAGACTAGGACACTGTAGTTTCATTTCATTTAAAAAAAAAAAAAACATTTTATTTACAATTCACTTGGTTTCTAATTTATTATAAAAAAATATTACTCAATGCTGTAGCATACAGGCATGGTACCTGATAAAGCAGTCATCTTTACACAGAAATACATTACAAAACTTGCACCCAAATGAAGTCTCCACAGAATAACCCTTAGGAGTTTTCTTACCAATTCTAGAACATCATTTACAAGAACGTTTCTTTCGCTTGGAATTTGGTTGCATCATTTCACACTTATGAGTAGGGAGGTTGGCGTAACTCAAGCTGTTTTCAACACCAAGTGACTGTGGTTGTGGCCCACGTTTTTTTACGACTACAGTACCCAGCAATGAGCTGACTTGATAAATCAAGACGAAAATCTAGTTGCCTATACCTTCTTCTTGGATTAGGGGAGTGAGCAATTGAATATAAAATAAAAGAATTAACAATCATTCGTTGGATAAAGAAGAAAAAAAGATACTTCCAATATTTCATATACTTCTTACTAATGGAATAGTAAGATGCCAACTGGTCACTCAGATCCACACCACCCATGTACTGATTATATTGCAAAACAGAAAAAGGAGTAAAAAATGTTTTCCCACCCCTGGTGACATCTCTCCCACCTGGTGAACAATTTGTTGTCAGCATTCGAACTTCACGTTTATCATACCAGGTACAAGCAACAACTTTCTGACTCTGACGTACAATATAGTCACCCTGTTTCATTTTCACAGAATTCTTTATTTCCCCTGGCAGCCCTTTACTATTTTTACGAATGGTGCTACAAATGTATGTGTCTTTGGAATATAAATCTAATGCTATCTGTACAGAACTGAAAAAATTATCATAATAAATATGGTGACCAAAATAAAAATATTGCTGTGTTAAATCACAGACAACCTGGTAACCAAGACCTTTCTCAGGAGTGCTTTTCTTGCCAGTGTACGGGGACATATCAAATGTGTAGCCTGTTCTGGGACATGCGACAGACCATATTTTGAAGCCCCACTTTACTGGCTTCCCGGGCATATATTGGATCATATGAGACCTGCCTTTAAATTTACACATTGCCTCATCAACAGATATTTCTTTGAATGGATAGAAATGTTCAGGAAATGTCTTACGGACAAGGTCGATGATAGGCCGAACTTTGTAAAGACGATCGCGGTTTGGGTCAGTCCGATTAGGTTCGCTAACAAAATCACTGAGATGGAGATACTGGCTATTTTTGATGAACCTGTTTCGTGGCATGACTTTTGCCACTCCGGGAACTTGGAGACGGTCATCTGAAGACCAATAATCCGGTACTTCTGGAAGCGGATGTATTCTCATCAGGATGATAACACCGAAATAGGCACTCATTTCATCTCTGTCCATTTCATACCAATGCCGGTCTACGCGCCCGGTAACTTCCTGTCTATGTCTAGCGTATTTATTTGTTTCCCCGACCAACAAATCCAAAAAATCGTCCGTAAAATATAATTTAAAAAAATCCAGTGGTTCCCCGTCAAAACCAACACCATGTCTTGGTCCTGAAAACTGGTCGTCATGTGCTTGAATGTTCACGTCGGTCCTTTCATTTGACCAGATGTTTGGTGTATCGGCGGAGTCATCGGCATCAGAGTCCGAGTCACTGTCGGCATTCAGCAAGTCTAACAGTTCATTAGGATCGATGTCACTGCCACAGTTGGTATTTTGGCATAGCAATTCACATCTCAATCTCCCTTCGTCTATTTCTTCCACTGTAAAGCCTTTAAACTCAGTGTCTGAATCAGACTCATCGAAAAATCTCAGAATTGCGTCACGATCAGTTTGCGATGACAGCTCTGAGTCGGCCGGTTGCTGTGGCATCCCGGTACTGGGGCCCGCAGTCTGCTGTTCGCTCACAGTTTGGAAATTCATCACTGAGTTAAAACTTAAAACGTATCACACAAATAGTTGTGAATAATTGCATAAAAAATCAAAAAATACTCGACAGGAATTTAATTCGTTCGATTACAAG